GTGTGAGTCCCTTCTCTTGAGGTTGGATTCAAAGGTTCAGTCGGGCTTGTTGTTGACATACCTGCCTCCCAGCTACATGACAACAGCCCTGCCTGAGCTGCTGGAGGGGGTAGCCGGGTTGGCAGTGGAATTCCCCAGACTTATGGTGCTGGGGGATTTCAATCTGCTGTCACTCGGCGAATCTCTGGTGTGGCTCAGGAGTTCATGGCTTCCATGACAACCATGGACCTGACCCAGATAATTCAGGGTCCAACCCATAGGGGAGGGTTGGTTTTCCTCTTGGGGCAGTGGAGACGTGATTTCGATTTAAGGGGTATAGTTACTTCTCCCTTGTCATGGTCGGATCACTTCCTGTTGAGGTTAGATTTCTCGGTCCTACTCCCCCACCGCAGGGAGGCGGAACCGATTAGGTGGTTCCGCCCCAGGCATTTAATGGACCTGGAGGGGTTCCAAATAGCGCTTGGGGGTTTTCCTGATTCCCTCCTCCACGAATCGGCTGAGTCCTTGGTCACTGCTTGGAATAAGACGGCATCAGGGGCGTTAGACCAGATTGTGCCTTTGTGACCTCTCCATGATTGTGGATCCCAGGGGGCACCTTGGTTTACCGAGGAGCTATGGGAGATGAAGCGTCAGAAGAGATGTCTAGAGTGATGCTGGAGGGTTAGTAACTCCGAATCTGACCGGACACTTCTAAGAGCCTATATTAGGACTTATTTAGTGGCGATACGAGCGGCAAAATGTTCGCATTTTTCCGCACTTATTGCATCTGCAGAATCCCGCTCCGCCACCCTGTTTAGGATGACCCATTCCCTACTTAACATTTGGGAAGCTGGGGAGCCCTTACAGGGTAGAGCGGAGGAATTTGTGCAATTCCTATCAGACAAAATCGCTCGGATTCGGACAGACCTAGACTCCGATTGTCAGGACCTTCTGAGATGACTAGGGCAGGTCTTAGCTCAGTTTTATGGGATGAATTTGAGTCTGTGACCACTGAGGATGTTGACAGAGCGGTGGGAGCAATGAGTGCCTCCACTTGTTTATTGGAACCATGTCCTTCCTGGTTGGTATCGGCTGCCAAGGAGGTGACACGAGGCTGGCTCCAGGGGTTGATCAACGCTTCATTGAGGGAGGGCTCTTTCCTGCAATCCTTGAAGGAGGTGGTTGTGAGGCCCCTTCTCAAGAAGCCTACCCTGGACCCAGCTGACTTAAATAACTTCCGTCCGTCTCCAATCTCCTCTTTGTGGGGAAGGTTGTAGAGAGAGTGATGGCACTCCAGCTCCGACAGTCTCTGGATGAAGCGGATTATCTAGACCCTTTTCAATCTGGCTTCAGGCCCGCTTCAGCACAGAAACCGCTTTGGTCGTGCTGATGGATGATCTCTGGCGGGCCCGAGACAGGGGTTATTCCTTTGTCTTGGTGCTACATGACCTCTCAGCAGCTTTTGATACCATCGATCATGGTATCCTTTTGCGATGGCTTGAAGAGGTGGGAGTGGGAGGCACCATTTTATGGTGGTTTTCCTCCTACTTCTCTGGCCGGTCGCAATCGGTCTTGGTGGGTGGGCAGAGGTCAACCCCGAGGCCCCTTGAATGCGGTGTGCCACAAGGGTCGGTCCTCTCCCCCCTCCTATTTAACATTTATATGAAGCCACTGGGTGAGATCATCAGACAGCATTTGGTGAGGTTTCATCAGTATGCTGATGATACCCAGTTATATATCTCCTCCCCGAGCTCTCTCAGTGAAGCGGCCGATGTGATGGGCCGTTGCCTCGAAGCCGTGAGGGTCTGGATGGGGGTTAACAGACTCAGGCTCAATCCTGACAAGACCGAGTGGCTTTGGATGTTGCCTCCCAAGGACCATGTCGACTGTCCAGTGTTGACTCTTGCGGGGGAAAATATACCCCCTTCGGAGCGGGTTCGCAACTTGGGTGTCCTCCTTGATCCACAGCTGAATTTGGAACATCATTTGACGGCTGTGGCTGGGAGGACCATTGCACAAGTTTGTCTGTTGCACAGTTGCGACCCTACCTGGACCAGGAGGCTCTCCCTACAGTCACTCATGCCCTCATCACCTCACGTCTGGACTACTGCAATGCACTCTACATGGGGCTAGCCTTGAAAAGTATTCGGAGACTATAGTTGGTCCAGAATGCAGCCGTGTGAGTGATAGTGGGTGCTCCTTGATACACCCACGTTACACCTATCCTCCGTGAGCTACACTGGTTGCCTATTGGTCTCTGGGTCCAATTCAAGGTGTTGGTTATTACCTTTATAGCCCTATATGGCTCAGGGCCAGGCTATTTGCGAGACCACCTACTACCTCATAGTTCCCTTCGTCTGGTTAGATCCCACAGGCTGGGCCTCCTTCAGGTCCCGTTGGCCAAGCAGTGCCATTTGGCGGGGCTGCGGAGGAGGGCTTTCTCTGTGATGGCGCCCACCTCTCAGAACCAGCTCCTCCTGGAGATTAGGACCACTCCCAACCTGTTGGTTTTCCGTAAGCTGCTTAAGACCTCGCTTTTCCGGCAGGCCTGGGGTTTATAAAATCTGACCCCTGGATGACTGTTCTTGTGCTGTTTGTTTTGTTATGTTTTATGTGTTTTTATTGTTAGCCACCCAGAGTCCTCCGGGAGTGGGGTGGCTTATAAATTTTAAAAATAAATAAATAAATAAATAAATAAATAAATAAAATGTCTGTTGCTAGGTGAGATAGTTGTTAAGTGAGTTTGCCTCATTTTACAACCTTCTTTGCCACAATTGTTAAGTGAATCTGGCTTTTGCAATGACTTGGCTTGTCAGAGGGTCACAAAAGGGGATCACATGAACCGGCACACTGCAAGCATGATAAATATGAGCCAGTACCAAATGTCTAAATTTTTAGTGTATGGCTGTGGTCATAAGTGTTTAAGTCAGTCATAAGTCACTTTTTCCCAGCGCTGTTATAATTTTAAATGGTCACTAAATGAACTGTTGTAAGTCGAGGACTATCTGTAGAGAAAAATCAGGGAGGCAACAACTTGAAATTGTTTAAATCAGACAGTTTTTTCAGAAAGCCATTTGGCTAATCTGCAGTATGGACCAGCAAGCATTTTTAGAGGGTAGAAACAACCTCCATATCACCCTAGTGATATCCTGCACTTTTTCTTGTTCTACCTTCAAAGTAATATTTTGTGGTTTTGTGGGTTTGTTTGTTTGTTTGCTTATGGTAGGTATCACATCATGATTTTTTCTAGGCCACCGTCTTTAGTCTGGCTATTTTGGTGAGGCACTAATGTCCCTCACCTCATTTTCTAAGTTTTTTTTAAATACAGTCTCCTGTACTTTTCTTGGTTCTTCTTCTTGAAATAACTGTTATAACATGGTTAATACATGGAAGGAAAAATACTTAGTTTCAAGTTTCTACTGAGTTTTGAATTAGATGCACTTTGCCTGTGAGTCCAGTGTTATAACCATTATGCCAGCAAGAAAGACTTTCTGTAAAAGTAGCTTCAACACGCTTCCTTGAGAAACAACTGAGGAAATGCAGGAAACAGTTTTTGTTTATTATTTATTTAGTTTTTTCTAAAGCTATTTTTATTTATATTTATTTATTTTTATGCTTTCTGAATGATGACAAAAAAGAACAAAGCACAAAGGTAATAACAGTGCAAATATTATTCAAGTATGTATATTTTTCTAATATATTTATATGACTACCATTTTTGTTTGTGTGTTAATCCACAGTATATTGTATAAATGAGTTCTATATTTCACTGCCATTTTTTTTTCCTGCTGGGTTTCATATTATTCTAGGGCTTGGCCTATGCCTAAAGTTTCACTTCTTGGTCAGATACTAATAGCCTCATTTTACTGTATATGCCGGTATATAAGGCGACTTCTGCGAGCGCTAAAATCGGCGCCAAAGATGGGGGTCGTCTTATACGCCGAGTCATCTTATACGCTGGAAATACTGGTAGTTTCCGTCGTATAAGATGACGTTCTAGGAATGCGGCTCGGCGATAAAGACGGGGGTCGTCTTATACGCCGGGTCGCCTTGTACGCCGGCATATACGGTACTTTCCAAGCTTTTCCTTTACTGTGTATTGTTTTCTCTTAGCTCTTCTTATTGAAATAATTTTTATAACACAAGAAATTTTTTACAGAACATTACTGGTTCAGAATCAGCTAATTCAGGGAAAGAAAAATATTTGTTTCAAATTTCTTGTGAAGTTTGAATTGGGTATATTCTGCATGTGAGCCTATGATAGTAAGAAAAATATTCTGTAACAGTAGCTTCAGTTGTATTCACTGAGGAGAACTGATGAAATGTGGGAATATTTATTTTATTTTATTTGTCTGCTTCTTTTCTATTTCTGTTTATTTAATTTTATTGTTTTTAAATTAATAACAAAAAAAGAAAAAGGAGAAACCAAAGATAATAATGAAGGAGATATATAAGTGTCAGTTAGAAGAGAAAAAATGACATAGAAAGTGAAAGAAATATAACAAAGGAAAAAATGTATCAAATGTAATTATAACCATAAATAATTAGAATATTATATATATTTTTAATGCAAATAGTATTCAAATATGTATAACTTTCTAATACATTTGTATGACTATCATATTTAACATACAATATTTCATCAACATAAGTCCCATATTTCATTAAAATCATCTGTCTAAAGATTTAAATCCAATTCCCTCATAAATGGCAACTGCAGTGAGATGTTCTATCCATTGAGTAAATGGAGTCATATACTTATCTTTCCAATGATGCAATATTAGTTTTTACCCATAATAAGAGCACAGAGAATCCATTTATGTTGTCTGGGTGTCAAAATACATGTACTAGGCCTATTGTTCAAAATATTACTTTCTGAAAATTTTAACTATTGTTGCACAATCATATTTATATACTCCATTACATTATCCTGATTAATATTTTTAAAAGTAGTACTCTATGTCATGTTGCATGGAATGTATGTAATAGATGTGTCTGGCTGAGACAGCTTTCTTGCTTCTTCAGTGGTTTCTCCATTTAAGTTGCTCTCGGTTGTTCAGTTCAGGCCTGACAACAATAATGTACCATTTGGGGAAAAATATGAAACTCAGCAATCCAGCACTGGAAGCTAAAATAGAGAAAATCTCCACAGCAACCATGTATTTTCCTTTGGTGCTCAGATAGGTTGGAACAAATGATAACCACACACTGCAGAACACTAACATGCTGAAAGTGATAAATTTGGCTTCATTGAAAGTATCAGGTAAATTCCTGGCAAAAAAAGCTACTATGAAGCTGGCAATGGCTAAAAAGCCCATGTAGCCAATCACAGTGTAAAACATGATAGGAGATGCCTCATTACATTGCAGGGTAATTTCACCCATTCCTGAGTGCATATTAGCATCTGGGAATGGGGGACTAGTTGAAAGCCACATGGTACAAATGCCTACTTGAAGAAGAGAACATGAAATAACAATGGAACTGGCCAGCCCTTTCCCCATCCATCTAGTCCTCTTTGTCCCTGGTTGGGTGGCCATGAATGCCAGAACCACAGTGATGGTTTTGGCCAATACTGAAGAAACAGCCACTGAAAAGACAATGCCAAAAACTGATTGCTGCAGGACACATATCACTTTCTGAGGTTGCCCAATAAAAAGCAATGTAGAAAGGAAGCAAAGCAGAAGAGAGATAAGAAGAGTGAAAGTGAGGTCTCGGTTATTGGCTTTGACAATGGGAGTATTGTGATATAGTACAAATGTTTTTAGCAAAATAGCAGTGATCAGAGCAAGGAAAAGAGCTGCAGTTGCTAAACCCATCCCCATAGGTTCTTTATAGGATAAAAAGGTTACAATTTTGGGGATGCAGATATTCTGATATTTGTTTGGATAAAGTTCATCTTTGCACTCAACACAATCAGGCATATCTGGAAAAGAGAAGTTTAGCTTTAGTTATACCAATGTCTTATAGTGAAATTGTAAAATTGATAAATGTTAATCAAGAATCGAAGAGTGAGGAAATAGAGAGATTTTCCATCAAAAGTATTCTTTCCTCGAGAGATGATCCATTGCTATATGAGCCTAATTTTGCCTTATCTGTATTGCAATAGAAATGTACTCATTTCTACTCTGAGTGTACTGATTTCTCTATTTCACCTCTCTTTTCCCAACACTGGAAACACTGCAGGAATACATTAATTAAGAGGGTGATGGTCTTTACCATGAGCATCCGTTGACCACGAATTAGGATTAATCTATCCAAACCTTAACAACTCAGATCTGCTAGTATTTTCCTGAGCTACCGAGATAGGGAACATAGGCATATGAAGCAAGATGATAGGAATCATCTTGTACATTCATTCTTTTGGTAACTACCATGCTTTTAAAAAATGGAGTATACTTCTTACCTTCCCACTCAGAAATTTTGCCTTCTGGGCAGGGACTGCAATCATAGCAGCAGAAGAGCTCCCCTTCTTTCTTTTGCTTCCTGTAACCAGGTTGGCACTTGTCATTACAAACTGAGAGAGGTTGCACCTAATTCACCAAGAAAGTAAAAATCATAAACTAACATAAAACTTCACAATGACAAGTTTAGAATTCTTACAGATTACAGCACAACATGACATGCAATTACCTATTACTGGACAGATTCTATAATGGTATAGTGCTATGGAGTGGTATATAAGTCTAAATACTATTGCTATTGCTGTAGGTCAAAATACTCTGGCCCCAAATTCTCCTATCTGTATGTGTTGCATAACCTAGTCCAGTGGTTCTCAACCTTTTTAATGCCGCGACCCCCAACCCGTCGTAAGTCGAGGACTATTCAACCGGTCATAAGTCGAGGACTACTCAACTGGTGCAACACCGTTTGCAGAATGGGACTTTTGGTAGGCTCAGCCAGGCAGAGACAGCTTGGACAATTCTTATTGGCTTTTGAAAGCCAATAGAATTAGACTCTATTCAAGAGAGTCTATTCTATTGGCTTTCAAAAGCCAATAGAATAAAAGGGAGTAGCACAGCTAAGGAAAAGGGGAGGGGGGAATGGCGGACTGCGTTGTTTGGCGACCCCCGTGAAATGGTCGTTCGACCCCAAATGGGTCCCGACCCACAGGTTAAGAACCACTGACCTAGTCTAACCATAGGAATAACACTGATTCATTTGCTTATCTGCTTGCTTGTTTTGGTTTTGGCTTTCATTTTTATTTTCTTTATTTAAATAAACAGAAGAAAAAGAAAAAAAATAAAATAGGAAAAAAGAATTAAGAATAAAAAGAATTAAAAAAGGTAATTTTGATATTTTTGGCCCTTCAACATTCTTTTACGAGATACAATTTTACTGCCATTAAAGATGGGAATTGTAAGATATGTAGCTTTTCTAAAGATGTATATTTTCTTTATTTAAAAAAGTATTATGTGCTAAATCTGAGAAATCTGAAGATATACATGTTTTTATCAACCTGAAACTAGAATTCTAATAATAACAATAACAAATAAAAAAACCAGGTTGTTTGAATATACTGTGGATTGGTATACAACATTTATTAATATTCTTTTGTATCTGATACATGAATTTTATCTAGTGTGTATCCATACAAATCATTTTTGCAAAGTGATATTGTGTATATTAGTTATGGAAAAACCTTGTAAAAGTGTGTATCTTATGTCCTAATTAGATGTTCCTAGACAAATACTGAAGCTGAAGCTCAAATTCTTTCACCACCTAATGAGAAGAGACAACTCATTGGAAAAGACTCTGATGTTGGGAAAGATTAAAGGCAAAAGATGAAAGGGATGACAGAGAATGACATAGTTAGTGTCATCGATGCAATGAATTTGGGCAAATTCCAGGAGACAATAGAGAATAGGGGAAGCTGGCATGATATGTTCTGTGGGATCATGAATACACAACTTAATGACTGAACAATAACAAAAATTAGATTCTGATTTAATAGATGAATGTAGTTTCTTCAGTAGTTAAGAATTATCAAATGAACTTTATGACAAGTAGATATATTTCAGAATACATATGGCTGATAGTATATTTGATTGAATTCAACAAAAACAGAAAAAGCAAAACTGTAAACTGGATAATATACAGTAAGTATGTTTCCAGAGCCAACTTGATTTCATAAAGGAATTATAAAGTTGATCTAAATTCTCTATTAGACCCCCAAATGGAAAGTAAAAATCAGAAATCATTCCTCATCTCCCTTTCTTATTCTAGAGTTGTAACAAGCAAGTATCTTAACTTATTTTTATTTTATTTTATTTAGGTATTCATGTAATTATTTATTAGATTTATATACTGCCTTTATTTTATGTAATATAAGGGTTCTTACCTCTTGAAAATCTCTTGGGCCAGCATTAAAATCACAAATGAATTTAGAAATTATACAGAATGAAGGTAATGTTTGAAAAAAATGGAGGAGGAGGAGGAGGAGGAGGAGCAGGAGGAGCAGGAGGAGGAGCAGGAGGAGCAGGAGGAGGAGGAAGACATCAGATCCATTTTGGAACCTAAGATTTAAGGTGTTCTCCAATCCACAAATGATGCTTTGAAATAGATGAGACTATAGCATGTCTATTCTTGGCTCCCTTAAGAGGAAGAGGCCTCCCAGAGAGCCACATGAGAGAAGAATCTGCAGATGGTTGAGCAGCACAACCATGAAACAGATGAGGGGAAGCACACCTATTGGATGAAGATGAACCAGTTTAGTGATTTGGTAAGCAAACTCAGGAATATACCACAGATTTGGAGCTCATGCATGTTGGACAAAAATCCTCACATGCTAATGCATATGCATCCATTGCTATTTAGAAGCAGTTTTTTTCCCCCATGGGTGAATTGAAGTCTCTATTTCATTCTTGAGTCAGCAGATTAAGTAGCAGCATAAACATTGCAGGTCCTTAACAGAATAACAGAGTTGGAAGTCTTCTAGTCCAATCCCCTGCTCAGGCAGGAAACCCTATACCATTTCAGACAAATGGTTGTTCAATCTCTTCTTAAAAATTTCCAGTGTTGGAGCATTCACAACTTCTGGAGGCAAGTCGTTTCACTGATTAATTGTTCTAATTTTTAGGAAATTTCTCCTTAGTTTTAGGTTCTTTCTCTTCTTGATTTGCTTTTCTATGTGCTCTTTCCTTGTCCTATCTCTTGGCTGTTCTATGCTGAATAGGGTTTTCCTAATTTGTCTGATGTGACAAGCAAGATGATTCAAACCCTCTCGCTTTGTTGCTCTTCCCCCTTTGGGGATCACCAGCCAGAAGGGAAAACTTCTGTCAGTGCTATATCAGCGAGAATAGGATGGGTTTGGCTGTAGGCCTCTTCTAGGTCTTCTCTTTCTTTGCTCCTTCTCTTACACTTACATCCCATTGGGTCATTAATCAAGAGGAGTTGTTTTCATTTTAAACAAACAGGAGTCATGAAGGGACCTGAATCCCAAGTTTTATTTAAGATTTCCTTTCCTTCCTTATTTAGTTATTATAATCCTGCCATTTACCTGAAGCTCAAAGCTGTACTTTTGAGCTTTTATATATATATATATATGTAAAACACAAAAAATGATACCAGACCCACACTCACAAAAACCATACAGGATGTCACCACCACACATCCACGCAAAAAGCAAACCCAAAGCCACACCGATGATAAGGCACGACCACAAACCAGAAGCCAGACCACAGCTGCATCATTAGCCACTTTAAACCCCTCCAATCCGTACATGAAGCAAACTGACACCCTCCATGAAGATGAGGCACGACCACGAACGCGAAGCCAAAAAATAACAAGGCAGCCCAAAATCTTAAACCCCCCTGCAACTCAGACTAACCTGAGCACAACCAAACAGAACACTCCCCCAGCCAATCAGAGCACAGCCAACCCCCAGCCAATCAGAGCACAGCCACGCCCCTAACCAATCAGAACACACCTCCACCCAATCAGAACACAGCCAAGCTCCCACCCAATCAGTTCATACCCCCACTGGCAGTTAAAAGGAAGAAACAGCTAAGACCACACATTGCTGCTCGAGGCACGAAGCTGAAAGCACCAGCCTGAAGATGACGAATGGGACTTCGTCGAAACGTCGCCAAGACACTTCCAATTTTACGTGGGAGAAAACCCGAACAACCAAAGACCTACATACAAACACCTGCGAAAACCTCAGAAAACAAATATCGAACCTCTACGGGGAGGAAATCCACCATCTGACCAGGACCTATGAAAAACTTGAAGTCCAAAGAGCTTTCATTTTATGCGACCTCGCATTCCTATGCAACTGCCGAGATCAAAATCTAATCCCCACATGTTTCCAACTGAAATTCCACTCCAACTCTGCAGCCACCAAACGGATCCTGAAAAGAACAGAATTGGCCCTAATCAGAAATGAACTTCACAGAAAAAGATTCCTCCTAGACCGAATTAACAAAGATCTCCTCACACTCCACCTCAAACTCAGCAACAAGATCCACCCCGCACTTTGGGACAAATCCAAACAACTCGCCATCTGGAGAGCCGAAACACAGACCACCCTCAAGACAGATACACACACCAACAAACTCCGAAGACTACAAGAATGCCAGAAACAAACCCATCCTCCCTCACAGCCACACATGAAACAAACAGTGCATAACATCTCAGATAGGATCCTCACCAAAGCCAAAACCAATGTCCTTTCCAAAGGATTCAACTTTGTAGTCGCTCCCAAACACATCCCCACTGAAACCATTATATGTGGAGTTGAAACCAGCCTGACTAAAATCAACCCTGATGACGCTAACAGAATCAGACTCGAAATCACCAACATTCTCTGCACCAGCAAGCCACCCAAAAGCAACTTACCCAAAGAGGAACAGACAGCACTACGTAACCTGAAAGAAGACACCAGCATAATAATCCTACCAGCAGACAAGGGCAACGCCACGGTGGTTATGAACACATCTGACTACCAAACCAAATTAACCAACCTACTCCAAGACTCCACATACAAACCCCTAAATACAGATCCCACCACCTACCTGGAAAAAACCACCAGATCCAAAATAAAAGCCTCCCCCATTAGCGAAGAGATCCAGCAAAGAATCATTCCCAGAGAGAAATCATCCAGATGCCCAAACTCTATGGTCTCCCCAAGATACACAAAGAAGGAACCCCACTCAGACCTATAGTCAGCTCCATAGGCTCACCTCTACAAAACCTAGCCAAATTTCTCGCCAAACAACTACAGCCCTATGCAGAATCCATCACCTCACACGTAAAAAACTCATTCCAGTTTATAGAGATCATAAAGAAACAAAACTTACAGCCCAGAGACCTACTCATGAGCTTCAATGTCATATCCCTCTTCACCCAAGTGCCTATCAAAGAAGTCTTGACAGCTATCCAGAACAAATATAACACCCCAAACACATCTTAGATCTGACCAACCACTGCCTATCCAACACATACTTCATCTATAATGGACAAAAATACAAACAGAAGGAGCACCCATGGGATCACCCCTCTCACCTGTCATTGCCAACCTCTACATGGAACA